CAGCCAGCTCCAGCCACCCTCTTGTCAGGATAAAATGTATTTACGTGCCTTCCCTGCTCATTGACTGTATTTATTAAAAGAACACTATGGCAGCTGAATATCAAATTCCCGGCTAGGCTTTTATCTCCTTTTTAAGCCAGCCTGAATTATTGGCCTAATTTTATTGCTTACCCATTCTGTTCTATGCTCATTTTCTCCAAGAAGGCACTGGTGTGTTTGATATTTGGGCTCATTTGTTGCCAAGACAGAGGCTCTCGCTTGGAACACAGATCTGGGTTCTGGAGACTTAAGCAACACAAAGCACAGGATTTAGATTAATAAAGCTCTTGATTTCAGTTCTTTTTAGGGTCAGTGATCCAAATCTTCACGACGAGATGACTTTGTGCAGAAAACTCCGTCCCTTTTTGAAACCTAGCATTTAGTAATTTATTTTCTTAAATAAATTCTTCCCCGTGGTGTTCTTATCCACACAGTGCTAGGGATGGAAAATGCCACAAAATGCCACCAGTCACCTTCTGCAGCCTAGTAAACACAGCTCAGGAGCCCCTGGAATTCTGTTGACACTGAACCCATTTGGATCTCTGTATAAAAGCACATTTCTGTTTTCAAAATCTTTGCTACAGAAAACCAGAGGTTTCTTCAGCAACAGAGCACAGTGAGCTGAGCCATGCAACCAAACCCCAAGTGCCATCGCAGGACTGCAAAAAAGCTTCCTCTCACTTTCAGTACAGCAAATATATGGAATAAATACCTTTTTTCTTGCCTGTTGTTGGGAAAAATTAGAGATATCCCCGTGCCAGCTTCTGCTCTGCTTCCCCTTGCCCCCAACTTCTGTACAACCATGTGCCAGAGAGCAATGTCCTCTCATCTGACAAGGATTCTTCCCAAACCCAGGGCTTTCATCAGCTAGACAGGACTATGGTCTTCCAGGCAGCAAAATATTACACTTCAGGGGAAAAACAAAGAAAACAAATGTAAAAAACAAGCCATGTGATTTGATACCCAAACAGGAAAACTGCAAAGGATATAATCCGGTTAGATCACTGAATCCTGTACTTTCCCATTTATAACACCTAATTGTTGTATTAATTCACATCAAAATGTAATTTTTTCCTGTGTGCAACGCCCGGGGGGGGGAAATCACAGAAATTAGGCTGGAAATGTTGCAGGACAAGGCTTTAACACAACCCCCCAGTCCAAACCTGTGAGCCTTAGGCTGCTCTTCCCACATTCCCCATTGGACTGATCAGCACACCCAGCACAAAATAAACACTGAGCCACCACCATCAGAGCTTTTGTTTCATCAAACACCATCTTGATACCACAGCAACACGAGGGTGTTTAAAGGAAGCAGAGTGAACCCGTGTCCTTGCAGTTATCGCTCCTTCACTCCAGAGAAAGCACAAAGGGAAATATTTGTGCATCAAGACCTCTCAGAAGCCTCTCCAGCAACACAGCACAGGAGAAGTTTCTCATCTGCCTTTGGAGTTCATTTCACCTCTGCAGATCTCACAGTGCAGCATTTTAACTCTCTGGGATAACAGGAAAGCTTGCAAGACCATGGTTCCCCCCAGTACAGAGGAGGAGAGGAGGTTTGTATCACTTTTTGGCACCAGAAATCCAGGATTTGTTTAGCTTGGAAGTGCCATGGATGTAGCTCAGGTAAGTCTTCAGGGTGGTAAAAGTTCAGTACTCATAAGGTAATTCTCACTCGTTTATCCTTAACTGCCAAAGGAAAGTAATTCCAAGTCCCACAGGGTGTGCCAGGCTGAAAAATGTGGAATCATCCCAACAGCCAACTTCTTGCTTCTCTGAACCTCCCTGTGATGAGCACGAGGCGTATTTCCAAACCAACACAGCCCTAAATGAGGGAATAACAATAATATCCTTGTCCATGCTGACTTATTCCAAGTACAAATGAGTCTTTAGGCACAGGAGCTACTGATGGTGTTCACACACCAGCTCCACCATAGGGAGCAGGGGATGAAATCTGGTCTGGCCACCTCATCCTCCCCCTCTGCTTAATTTTGGCCAAAAAAGCATAAAGCCATGGCTGTGCTACAAAACACTACAGCAACCAGGCAGTGAAATAATTTCTCATAAGGGGCTGCTCCAGCATGGCAGGGCCTGGTCTGCCAGAGGCATCCATGCAATCCAAACGCCGATATCCTCATTAAGGGCTAATGACCCCCAGAACTCCCTGTGCACTAATGACCACGGGAGCTGCGCCTTGAAGTCATGTGTGACCTGGGAGAGACCAGCACCAGGTGCCTTTTATTACCTTTGCAACACAACAAAAGGAATTACACCCAGTAAGGAAGCGTTTTCCTTCTTCCCAGGGAGCGAGGAATGGAGTAATAAACCAGCAGCATATTGTGGGAGCGAGTTCACAGAGAAAAAAAAATACAGTTCAAGGGGACCCTGATCTTCACCAACACAATTTAGGACATTCGACACTCCCTCCGACCTCCACTGCCTTCGCTTGAGCAAAATTAGGAGGAATAGACTATGGCACGTAGGTCTGTTGGCTTGGAGGGAAAGGGGCCCCACAGTTTTGCTCCCTGGAGGCACCCGCTCTCCCCACCCCTTTTGTGTGTATTTTTTTTAATGTGCCACACATCAGCACAATGCTGACAAGGGCTTTGTATGTTTTCTGCCTATGCAGCAGTTCAAGACACACAACTCTGGATTTTTTGAAAGGGGAAAGGGGGAGGGAGCTGCCCTTTGCTGTGCTGGTTAATTGCGCGGTTCGCTCTTCTACGTGACCACAGGGAAGGGAAAAAGCACCGACGTTTAAACACAGAACCATTTTTAGCAGCCAAAAGGGTCAAACTCAGTCTTCTCACAAGATGCAGCGGAGCTCAGAGTAAAATCTACCACAGGCAAGAAAAGAATTATAAATCACCAGAGTTTCTTCTCTGGAGTTGGATGGGACCCCAGAAAACAGCTCATCCATCCTCGCTCACTGCAGTTACAGCCTTCATGTTTCCACACCTGCCAACGCAGGGATTCCAGCCCTCAAAAAATGGAGGGAAAGGGTCTGGAAAGCTGGACTGTCGGTTCTTCCACCTGCCAGGAGCAGCTCAATGGAGCCTGGGTGGCTCAGCTCCAAGGAGCAGCGAGCAGAGCACGTTACCAGCCTTCTGGAGTTCCCATCTCACACGGACATGCGTGATATGGACAGCGCTGGCAAACAGCTTCCTTCAAAAATAAGGATGACTAATCCCCAGCAGTGCCACTTCATTTATTTATTTTTTTTAAAAGGCCACAAGGCAGAGCTTTTTCCAGAAGCATCAGCCTTTGTGAACCAGCAAGTGGTGGGAAGGGGAAGCCCTGGGACCCACTCATGGTCTCCAGACAGAACTAACCACAGGAATACTGTGGGGTTTTGTGGCCTGTGTACGACACACACAGACATGGATGGAGCCCCACACTCATGGAAAGGCTGGATCCCACTGCCCAGGAGACTTGCAGATCCCTGCATGGTTAGTAGGGATCTGATGGGGAGAGGGGTTACACAAACAACCCACTATTTCCCTAGAAAATAAAAAAAGAAAAAAAAAAGAGAGAAAAAATAGGGCATGAAACAGCTTTACCCACTGTAACACCGTAACATCCCCCCGGTGAGGGAAGGGATGCATGGAGAAAAAGGGGTGAGGGATCTGGGATGAAGAGGAGCATCTGCATTGCCTGGTGGGCCCAGTCCCCCCAGCAAGGTCACTCTGGCTCCCAGGGAGACACATCAGTGCTTCAATGCAAAGCTGTGGTCGAACTGCAGCGGAGGCAGCGCTGCAGGAGGTCACTCGGGGACTGCAAAGAGGGAATGGATTAAAAAAAGGGAATAAAAAAAAAAATCCATAAGCAGATGTTTACTGACGTGCAGCAAATCCACAGCTTGGCTCTGGAGAGCTGCGTGGTGGGAGGGAGAACTGCCCAGTTCCCAGGACGCAGCAAACAATCTGCATCTACAGATTTAGGTTACAGCTTTTAACCAGCCTCCCTCACCACCCCCCTTAAAAAAACCCCAAATTCGTCATCTTTTTAAGCTCTTAGAAATGTAGATTTGCCACGGAGGTGATTTTGGGTGGTGGCACCATTAAAATACTTACCCACCTCACAGCCAAGGGCTGCGCAATCTGAAATTTGTGAGTGTTTGCAAATGGTTTGGAAAGCTTTCCAAGGAAGGTGCTGTAGGATTGTAAATCCTTCCCGTTATTAATAAAAGGGAGCTATTGTTCCAGCTCTAATCAAGCCTTGTCTCCAGCTGGGCAATTTTAAAACGCAATTCAAAACACACACAGGGAAAAAAAGATTGTGAGGAAGCTCCAAAAAAAAATAACAAAAAACCCCCACCAAAAAATCAGTGAGGGAGCAAGGGGAGGGGGGAAGGAAAATAAAAAATAATACTCCTGCTATTTAAAATGAATTCCAAGCAGAAGCATGCTGGGGTGGGAGGGGAATCCTCCCTCCCACCGCCTGGGAAAGGTCACTTGTGCCATCGGTGCCCTGGCCACGCTGCCGGCCCTGCCCTCATCCATCTCCATCAGCAATAGCTCTGCTTTCCATTTATTTAGGAAAAAAAAAAGAAAATCAAGCTGCAAACACCTCCCAGCGCTCTGTTTTCAAGGCTGGGGGAACGGAGTGAGAGGGAGAGGCTTGGAATGAGGCTCCCAGCCAGGGAGAGGTGGTGCATCCTCCGCATCCTCCTCCTCCTCCTCCTGCCCGGCGCTGCGGCAAAGGCGCCGCAGTGGGGGCTCCCCGCCCCCGTGGAAGCTTCTGGAATAAGCAGCCAAGCTGGAGACAGGAGAGAAACCTTTATACCCGCAGAGGGGAAAAAACACGTAATAAAAGGGAGAGGATTGCACAAGGCCGGGGGAAAAAATAGAGATCCCTGTAAAAGTGAAGCCCCTGAGCAGCTCTGGCAGCCCCGGCTCGGGGGTGGTGCAGCCCCGCTCGGCTGGAAACAAAACGCCCCAACAAACCACATTAAACAAAAAAAAAAAAAAAAAAAAAAAAAGAGAGAGAGAGAGAAAAATGGTGGTGTTTGGAGCGCGAGATGGTGGGATAAAGGCGCTGATCCCTCCTCCCGGATCTAGAGCAAAGCCGGCCATTGCAGTTCCATTTATCCTCTTTTTCTTGTGCAATGAATTGTCTGATCCGGACTATTCGGTTGCATTTGCAGCTTCACTTACAAGTTTGGTTTTGTGGTTTTGTTGTGCTTTTTTTCCCCTTTTTGTTTCTTTTTTTTTTATTGGGTTGTTTTGGGTTTGTTTTTTCTTTCCTTTTTTTTTTTTTTTGGTGTATTTTTTCCTTTTTTTCATTAAAAAGTAATCCTCCCCAAATCTCCCAAGGAAAATCTACCTCTTTGTGGAACAAATAAAATATTCAGGCACAAACTTCCGCCATGGACTGTAAAAAAAAGAGATGGGTTGTTTTTTGTTCTTTTTCTTTTTTAATTTTTACTTTTTTATGGCATTTTTTTCTCCTGCTTTTAGGATACATTGTAGTAGAAAGCCAATGGAGGAAAACAAAGGTAATATATATATATAAAATCAAAAATATATACGGGCCAAATGATAGTGATTATATATAATTAAATCATAGTTTTTAGGTGTGTGGGTTTATCTTATATTTTAAGCAGTTCCCGTAAAAAGGAGATATACATATAAATATGTAGTCAACATACAGAATATTTATATATGTATGTAGTAAATATATAGAAATATTTCTATATCTGTAGAAATAATAGAGCATCTACATGGGCCTAAATCTGAAATTCCATGGGGAAAAAAGCAGTATTTTAGGCATGTAGCTTTTAACAAGGAAGGGGCAACGTTGTAGCCTGTGACAACACTGTGATGCAGACAAAAAGGTAAGGCAACATTAAAAAAATATAAAAAAAAAAAAAAGAAAAAAAAAGCGTATGTGGTACCTTGGCTGCAGCCTCCAACAACGAGCGTGTGGATGTTACGGGATTTTGGTTTTTTATGGTATTACCACGTCTGATCACACCAATATATGATTTTAATTAAGCGAATGGCGGGCGAGCTGTCGTGGGGAGCAGGCAAGCGGCGATGGCTTCTTCCCACACCACTCCGGCTCCGAAGATAAATCAGTCCTCGGGTGTTAGGGGATTTCTCCTTGGTTTGTTTTTTTTCCCCCAAGCACGTTTGGGTATTTTCCATGCCGTGAGGAAAGCGGGAGATGGCGGCTCCGACCCCTGCGAAGGAGAAAAGCAGTGCAAGAGAACAGAATTAGGCATTAAACTACCCACCTTGGGGTGCTTGTGGTGATGATGATGGGGGACGGGGGTGGGGA